TTCAATCATCTCAGTCTGATTGTTCTAAACTCCCTTCAGTGTTTGCCAAGCCACTTCATATTAAACCAAACAGACAGTTTGTAATCAGGCGGCTTTGAAGAGTCTGACGGGCGAATTCATTTATCACATGGATATTTCCCCAGGTGGAGACTCAGCCTCGCTGGCTGTTATGAGCTGTGATCCGGAGCAGCGGGGAGGACGGACTCCCCGAAACACATCAGACGGCGTGATGTTGGTGCCGCATCCAGCAGCGACACATCAAAGACGCAGTTCATATATCTGCTGAATCTGGATCACACAGGCTGCTGTTCCCTGAATATTCATCCGTTCACCATGTGTCTTCCTCCAGGGTCAGAGGGCGGAGGGTCTCAACTCCTCTGACAGTTCACTACCTTAGTACCACTCAAGGGTTTTCACCTCAGCTGCTGAAGGTCCAATAAAAACCTGTTGAGATGTGCGTGTAGTGAAGATATTCATTGGTTTTTTAGATATTTAAAGGTCCATTAAATTAAACCAGTTTGCTTCTATTAATGGAAGAAGAAGAGAAAATAAAAGAAAGTAGAATCTTCTCCTTGAGGTCGTATCCCTCCGCCACTCGGACTAGTTCCAGGTTACATCCCTGTTTATCCAAGGTCATATAAAACGTGAACCATTTGTGAGAAATTTTGTCATAATTGCTGTGTTTTGTGAGGTCACACTGATCTTGACCTTTGACCTTTGACCACCAACGTCCAATCAGTTCATCCTCGAACTTTTGTACCAAAATTTAAGAAGTTCCCTCAAGGTGTTACTAAGATATCACATGTCGTGTGATGTCACCGTGACCTTGACCTTTGACCTTTGACCACCAAAATCTAATCAGTTCATCCTTGAGTAGAAGTGAAGGTTTGTGCCACGTTCGCAGAAGGAGGGTTCGGGTTAGATGCAGATGTAAGAGAATAAGATGCGTTTCATATTTTTACATCTTCAGTTTATGATCAGAAATATTAAAACGCTTTTTGTTTTATATTTTGTTGGAGTGGAGCTGAGCGAGGGAGAGAAGAAGAGAAGAGCAGGGCATGAGAACAGAGTGATCAGGAGTACATCAGATAAAACAGTCCATGCTGTTTATCCTGTGACGCTGTTCCTTAAAGAAATAATAAATCAGAGTAAATGTTCCTCTGTGGATCCACGTCAGCTCAGTCAGAGCAGCGCAGATTATTATGGTCTGGATTTAAAATGTAGATTCATCATTTCAACATTAAATCTATGAAACTTCATGTGAATTAAAATAATGACATCAGAAAAGTTTTGCCTCCGTAGTGAAGATGAGTCTCTCTCTGAATGTGTTGTGTTTTCAGAAGAACAATGAGATTCACAATATGATGCAGGCTCTGGATGATTCTGTTTCCTGGGCAACGATCATGTTTTCACCACATGAAGTACATGATACAGTGAATGGAGCGCGTATCTGCTGTGAATGGGGAGAAAATTATATAATGTAATGACAATGTTTACAATGTGTGGCTCCGCCCCTCGTCTGAATAATTCATATAAAAACACAGAAGCTTTTCAAAGTTAATCTGGTGGATTTGTCTTTGTTCAGTTTAGTACCTTCCTCAGCCACTAGAAGGCAGGAGGTTATTTCCTGAAGCTCAGAGTCCACACAGAAACCCAGAGAGGAAACCAGGAAGTAAATACCAGAGATTAATTAAATCCAGATAAATCAGATGTTTAAAACTTGTCATCTCACCTTTTTCAAACGGAGACGGTATTCGGGATCATTACGAAACATCAGTTCTGCTTCCTGTTCATTTGTCACTGTACTAATTGCTGTCCACATTGCCAGTCAATTAATTCAACTTAATTATAGCTCCATTTGCAAAAGCCTAATTGACACGTGGATCTGTCGGCTGAACGGGCAATTAGAGAGGAGATGCATGAAATAAAATGATGGCGAGATCTTAATGATTTAATCAAATATAATAATTAATTACAGGAAGGAATGAGAAGGTCTGAAACTACAGGGTGAGATTGTTATAAGAGAAAAAGAAACATGATGTTAAACCTTTAATCTACCAGCAAATCACAGAGGATATATGTTTCATTTTACATTGAAGAATGAATGGATGAATTTATCATTCTTTCATCATTTGCTTGGTCAAACAAACAGGTAGATAAATGAATGAAGGAATGAATCAGTAGGTGGATGGATCAATGAATTAATGAGCCAGTTGGTGAATGAATGAATGAATGAATATCAGGCTGTCTTGCAGTATAGACCTATGGAGGATGAGAAAGACTGTGGTGCAGAACTTCAGTGTGTTTTTGTATTAATTTTAGACCCCCCACCCACCCACCCACCCCCTCCCCTCATGTCTCCTCATTTGCAATAATTGCTGATGTTCAACATCCCTTCACGGCCACTGATCAATAGTTTATCGGTTCTCTCCGGGGAGACGCCGCCTTTGATTCTGCTCACAGCTCTGAAGATTGGCCCCCGTACAAACCGGCCCCGCTGAGCTCCGAGGGCCCGGGCTCGACTTGCTCTGAGCCCCGGCGGCTGCGGGCTTCAGAGGACCCCTGCTGAGAGGGGCCCCGGGGCTGAGGGTCCCTCCATCTTATCAGCACAGAGTAATTCTCTGCACAGCAGGAAGAGGCTGCTTCTGTTAAAGCTGCAGCTGGTGGAGGGGAAACACAAGTGCTGCACACAGCAGCATTTACAGCATCTGCAGAGGATTCAGACACTGATTCACACTCAGTTTGTAATAAATCCGTTAAATGTCTGTCTATAACATCTCAACAAATCCAAATATATTCAGGTCAATGTGATGTAAGACAGAGAAAGGCTGTGTCTTCCACACAGAACAGCTACAGAATTATGTACATATATATATATATATATATATATATTGTTTATGTAAAGGAGACGCTCTTGGAATTTCATCAGGAGCTCATCAGTTAAAATGGAGAGTTTTATTGTCTTTAAACCTTCCATTACAAAGGTTTAGTACGTCCCCCTTTAAATCCAGCTCTGTGTCCTGGAAGCTGCGTTCATATATTTCAACATCACAAAATAAACTGTAATAACAATATTAAAACAGCATTAAAACAAGGAATAAAAATGAGGAGACAGTGGTAAAAGTAATGACATTAAAACATATGTCCTGTGATCAGAGAGATGGTTCCATAGAGAAGTTATAGACACAGACTGCAGGTCTTTTAAATCAGACGTCCACAGAGAGGAACAGATAGGGTTTGGTGTGATCCCTGTCTCTTATACTACTGGAAATGTCCTGGAAAAGTCCTGGAAAGACCCTGGAAAATGATCGGTAGAAGTGTGGGGAGCCATGTTTCTCTACTCTTTTTTCCTTGTATCTTTAAAATGTGCAACACTTGTCTTCCTGACGTGTTGATGATGATATTTAGTTGAATATTAAAAACTCTGTGGCTCCTTTGGGACCTTCACGGATATAAAAATGGTCAAATATCATTTAAATTAAACTCTGGATCCTTTAAAATGATCTCCCATGATTCAGTGTGATGTGTCAGTGCTGCATGTGTTTGTGTTTAAAGGCTTTAGAGAACCCCTGCCTCTCTCAGCCTCACATGTTGGCCGGCCTGTTCCTTCTGCATTATACAGGTTTTCTCTTTTTTCTGCTGCCAAGTCCTTCCATTTTCTCCTCGCCAGCTGGTCAAGGGTCTCCTGCTGCCGCTAGGGCCCACAGCTCACTTCCTACTTTCTCCAGCACCTGTTCCTATTTGGCAAGGCCGACCGGGATCCTGAAAGCTTGGAGACGAGCCATCTGCTGCCCAACTCTGCACCATTTTACCCCCCAATCCCTCGAGTCTCTGCGTGCATCCTGAGTTCTTCTCTGAAAACACACAGCGCTGCTGAAGGATGGAGGAGAAGCTGAAATGGACTGGCTGGTAAATCCCAAAATCACCATTTAGCTGAAGGGGAAAGCTGTGAGAAGGCAGGTTAAATCAAAGCTGGACATGTGTGGCGGAGCTCATTTACCCCATGCAGGTGCAGTGACTGATAACTGTCACTTTTCATCTCAAACACTGAAAGCTGCTCTGACCTTGACGCAGCAGCAACGGTTTATTTTTAATGCCTTCAGCCAAAAATTACGTTTCCAGTTTATAAGAATGAGGGATGTGGGTGAATTCAGACACTTTCAAGCTACAAAAAAAAAAAAAATTCCACCAAATCCTGTATTAACCAGCACAACACCTCACAGGTGTCTCCAGATTTGATGGTTTTCATTCTGAGTATAAGGATTATTCTCCTCTGCTGGTTCACAGCCAAACAAACACAAATAAACACTATCAGGGTCCATCCCAACACTTAAACTCTTTTAATTTAACTCTTTGTGAAGTGTTGCTATTTCATAAGTGTAATAGAATAATTAAAGACATGAATTATTGCATTACAACAATTGTAAATATAGTTTTTTAATGCACTGAATATACAGGAAATACAGTTTATTAAAATATATACCAAATAAATAATTTTTAAAACATGTAAAAAACAAACATGGCTTCTCTCTGGAGCTATAGTAACAACAGATCGGTGAGCCAATCAGAAGAGAGGAGGCTCTGAGCCAAATAAAGCTAAGTGACATATATCACAAAAACAAATGACGTAGGTAAGAAACTAATACAAGTAAAACATAAATAATAATTAAAATATGCTAAATATCTATATAAATGAATAAAATAAAAATCATCAGCATCTTATCTACATGAAACTTTATGTAGCCTAAAACAAAACAGTTCATATTTTAATAAATACATATAATTTAGTATAGTCAGCCAATAAAAAGATAAAATAAATAAATACATTAAAACGATGTCTCCAAAACTACCGTTTCCTTATTTTTAAGATCTCTAAGTGGCTCTGCTCAAAAGCTAGTTGTTATGGACTACAACTCCCATGTTAGAGGGCGCGTTCTGCTGCGCATGAGCAAAGAGGTGGGCCGCGTGAGCCCATGCGGATGTGCCGCTATGTAAAATGGCGGCGTGAGAGAGGCTCGTTCAAATCACAGCGGTTTATTGATTTTTACCTGTGAAGGTGTTCTACTCACGTTTCTGAAGTGGCCTGCGTCACCTGGAGTTGTCACACAATCAGTCCGGATTTACCCTCTAGAAAAGGTACGTTAGGTGTAATTAACCTGGCCGCACGAGGAGCTAACGTTAGCGCCGAGGCGGTGTTTAACATGACGTTAGCCGCTCGCTGCTAGCTAGCTAACGTCCGGGCCCGGTTAGCCTGAACGCCCGCCGTTAGCTCACCGGCTAAGAGCCCGAACATGGACGTTGGGTACCCAGTGAACCTGTTAACAAAGGTTTACAATCCCCTCACGGTTATACTGTTCTACCCGGTTGACTGTTAATCTGACCTCAATCTTGGTGTTTATCTCGCTAACGGTTGTTAGCCTGGAGGAAGAGCTAACTGAGTAAAGCTAATTAACTGTTAGTTAACTTAAAGTCTACACGACAGGTTTTAATGTGTAACCATGGAGCTGAGTGGGAAACAGGAACCTGGGGTTTAATTCCCAGATCAGTGGGTTAACGGGCTGATGGAGGTGTTAGCAAAGATTATACACACTTAGACTAACTGTAAGTAACTGTCACTGTAAGTAATATTAATTATTTACAGCAATAACGTCTATCAGTTACTGAGCAGAATCATTGTGCAGTATTTAAATAGAAATTACAGCTACAGTATGGTTCAGATCTATTTACAGATTCTATTCTACTTGTTTATTAATTTTCTTTTTTATTTGTATTTTGTTTCTTATATATTTGATTTAGTTCATGATTGGTTGAACGTGATGGAGTACACTGTGGGGTTTCTACTTTTGCTTTTACTTCTACTGTCAGTGAAAAGTATTCTTTAAGATAGGATGTTTACAGTTGCTGTTGTTATTAATCGTCCATGTTGTTATTAAGATGTTGTTTTTGACTGAATGATGTCTGAAGATCACCTCAGCCTCTGAGAAGCTGTTATGGACATTTTTTTTAAAATTTTTTTCTGACATCTTATAAAATAAATAACTTGTTAATTAAGAAAATATTTGGCAGATTTATCTATATGGATAGAAAGAAAAAAGGAGAAGAAGGTGACATATTACTTAAATTTATTGTTTTGTACAACTAACGGTAAAAACACAGACATTCAGTTACTGTCAAACACGACTTCAGAGAACCAGCATTATATTTATATTAAGTTACATTTGTGAAACTAAAATGTTTTACATAAAAATAACTGATTATCAAAATTTGTTGCCAATTAATATTTTATTATTTGACTAATTGATTAATCGACTGCTTGATTCAGCTCTAGTCCACAAACCTTTTAATGTTTGTCAGGTGTTGATTCAGTTTGAAAGCTGTAGTTGCTTTTTACTGATGGTTTCTAATATGTCAGTTATATTAGGACAATGTGCAGTATGGGAGCTAATTACAGCCGTAGATGATACTTGAGAATCTTGTGTTTCTCCTTTAACACAGCTCAGGTTTGGTCAGTGACACCTCTGCAGTAGAAACCTGCAGACTCCGGGTCCTGACCCGGTCCTGGTCTAGATCAAGCTGCCGAATTACTCAGATAAAATGATATGTCACTAACTGTTTATTTTTCTTCTCTGTGTCACAGAGCAGGTGGGATGGCGAAGAGGATCGCTGACAAAGAGCTAACGGACAGGAACTGGGATCAGGAGGAGGAGGGAGAGGAGGTGAGTCCCACACAGACACAGATCTGACCAGTGATTGTACAACCTTAAATAAGAGACATTGTCTGGATTGATGCTGTAACATGTGAGAGTGAAGATTATAAACAGGTAAAAACAAAGATCCTAAAAAGAACAATAACCAGTAGAAACCAGGTCATCTTCTACTTGTGATTTAGAATTTGATCTCCTATGTTTTTTATTATGACATTACATGTAAAGATGACACTGACAGTGGATTAACAACATTATGTTGTTATTTGAATATTGTGTTCCAGCCCAAAATGGATTGTCCCGATGTTGTAACATCTCCAAATTCCTAAGTCCTAATGAAAACTGAGAGTTTTAGTTTTGATCTGTGGAGACTGAAAAGGTCAAGGAAAGAAAGTTGACACAGTTTTACCTCCACCTGGATGTAAATGAAGTGAGAGAAAGAGCCAAGTGACTTTAGTGTGTCAGAGTTTCTGCTGATGTTTTAACCTGTGAATCTAAAGCAGGTAATCTGTTCATCTCCATCAGGCGGGGACGTTTTCAGTTGCGAGTGAAGATGTGTTGAAGAATCGAGCCATTAAAAAGGCCAAACGCCGAAACCTCGGAGCTGAGGTGAAACAGAGTTTTACATCAACTTGTGAATGAAATATTCAGGAAATATGAACAGATTCCTCTTTTTTTTAACCTGCTTTGTATTTTCAGTCTTTGATTATGAGACGGATTTGTAGTGTGAAAACATTTAACCTGTGTGTGGTTCAGTTAGTTGTAAATGTTTCCTGTGTTTCAGGGGGAGAGTCCAGGAGCGTTCAAAGGTTTTAAAGGCTTTTCTTTGACTGCGGTGGCGACTGCAGCGGCGGCAGCGGCGAGTGGGAGCTCGACTCCCACCCTGTTCTCGGGTTTCGGGAACGGTGGAGGCTTTAAAGGCATCGGCGGTCTCACCAACGGAAACAGCATCGCTCCGTCGTTCGGAGGTTTCTCGTCTCCTGCAGCGTCCACTGCTGCTCCAGGTGAGACACAGTCACACCTGACGTCCAGTTTCTGTTTCCCTGACGTTTCATCAACAGGATGAACTTCAGAATGAACACAGGTGATTCAGGAGTCGTGGACAGGTGTTTCCTGACTTTTGTATTGCTGTCGATGTTCAGTATTACAAAACCTGTTTTTACTGGAGCAAAAGGTTCGAAACTTCATCAAAATAACTGGAGAATCTGGATTTTGTGAGATTTTTGTCACAATAGATATAAATACTGTGATTAGTTCACCAGCATATTTTCACACTTTTGTGTCAGTTAAGTGTGATCTGCTTGGCCTTTAATGTTGCTTTAAAAACATAAAAAGATTCAGAACAACAGGAAATAGTTTGAATCAAATTGAAAACTAGTCTTCATTGTCTGTTGAGTGCAGCTTCTGCGTTTCCTCAGCTTTGTGTTAGTGACGCGAGAGGAGGGACTCTTCATCTTTTTATCAGATTGTATGACTGGGATGATAGTCCCTCTCTTTCTGTGAAACAAAAAGAGAGAGAGGTCTGAACGACACAAAGGAGCCACTCAGCTTTGAGGATGTTGGTGTTTTAACCACTAGATCAGAATGAATTTCTCGGCTGTTGATGTTGATTTCACTGATGTTAATTAAAGAACATCAAACCGGCAGATGTTTCACTATAAAAGCTTTTTAAGGAAAGTGCAGAACCACTGACAGGCTTTTAATTTGAAGCAGATTGACTTTGTGTTACTAAAATATAGAATGCGTTTATTACGGTTCAGTTAAAGACACCTGACATTATCTGAGAATGAATGTAGATCATAAAGATTTTTGAAACCAGCTTTGACTCTGCATGGTTTTCATTTATTTATTGTTTTATTTTAGTCGTTCTTATTTTAAGATAAAGTGCATCTTTTTTTTAAAGATGGCTGCCTCTCTCAGTGACGAACAAATGAATATTTTAGTTTGTGATTCCCGTCGTGGTTCCTTTGTGTTCACAGCAGCTTTCTGACGTGATTGTGTTTAAACGGGACTGAGAGCTGATGGAGATGATTTTAATCTTCATCTTCTCTTACACCATCATCATCATCGTCGTGGTGGTGGTGGGTGCAGTGGCCTCAGACTGTGACATGCAGCTGAGTTAAAGCTGCTCCTGTGTGGAAGTCTGTGTTTAGTATCAGGGTGTAATGGAGCTGAATCAGCGACGTCTGCGTGTTTGTGTCTGGCTGCTCTTTCATTTCATGTCGTCGTGTCGCTGCAGGGCAGGAGGGGGGGGGCTGCAGCAGAGGGGGGAGGGGGCTCCTCGTTTCTCTTCCTCTCAGCCTCATCCAGCTGTAACATTTCTCCCTCCATCATCTCAGGTCTGACGTTCAACGGCCCCGCCTCCGCTGACATCACGGCCAAGCAGACCAATGGCTCCGCCCCGAGCCCGGCTCAAAGCTCGGGCTCCGGCAGCAGCAGCAGCAGTGTCAGCAACAGGGAGTACAGCCGGCAGCTCACCGCCCTCAACTGCTCGGTGCGGGACTGGATCACCAAACACGTGAACGACAACCCGCTGTGCGATCTCAACCCCATCTTCAGGGATTATGAGCGGCACCTGTCCAGCATCGAGCGGCAGTACGGCGCCGGCTCTGCTGCTCCAGCTGACGGGGGCTGGGAGGAGAAGAAGCAGGGAGGGATGCTGCCGACCACAGCCACCCCTCCTCCTCCTCCTCCCTCATCTTCCTCCTCCAGCAGCAGCGGCAGCAGCTCGGCGGCTCCGGCTCCAGGCGCCACTTTGTTCTCCTTTGGTAAAAAAACGACAGAAGACTCGACCCGGGACAAAAGCTCCGCCGCCGCTCCGATCCCCGCCGGCATCACGTTTAACTTCGGCCAGAAGGTGGACAGCTCTGTCCTCGGCTCCTTAGGGTCCAAAACCACGACCCCCAGCTTCTCCTTCTCCTCCTCCAGCGCCTCCTCCAGTCAGACCTCCCTGTTCGGAGCTCCTGGATCCGCCGCTCCTCTGTCCTTCAGCGGGACGAAGGCTGAGGACGCTAAGGCTGCAGGTACGCTCTAATTCATTTATGTCCTCAAACGGACAGAAGAGAGAGACGTTCAGTTATTCATTTATTCTTCAGTGGCAGAAACATAAATGAGTTCTGATCAGGGCTGCAGCTAATTATGATTCTTATCAGTCACAACAGATTTAAAGCTGAAATATGAAGAAAGAAAATAATAATTGACCAATAGTTTTATGTAAAAATATTTGCTGCTTCTTGTTTTTCACGCATCAGATAGAGAGAGATAGATATTTACTTTATTCTTCCCGAGGGAAGATTCAAGTGTCCAGTAGCTCAATATTAGAAATAAAGGTAAAAATAAATAATTCAATTAGATAGTAAATGAAATATCATTTGGTTTTTACTGTTTCTGACATTTCATAGACCAAACAGTTCATCAAGAAAGTCAGATGATAAGAATCATCGCTTGTTGTTGTTGCTCTTTATTGTTTCTTCACTTTATAAAATGTCAGAAACTAATTCCCAGAGTCTGAGACGACGTCCGACCGTCCAGAACCCAAACACTTTGTTTCCTGTCAGAGAGAAACTGAGAAACTGGAACCATCAAATTCCATAAAAAAAATGACTTGGAGTATTTATTTTAAATGATTGATTGGTAACTTCACTAATTGTGTCAGCTCTAATCACTGGCAAAATCAGATGAATCAGGTTTTATCTTTATTATTAATGAAACCGAAATGAACTTTGACATGTAGAAACGTTGACGTGAGGAGAAGCAGTGAACTGTAGTAAGATCAGCAAGGAAGGTGTCAAATAATGACATTCATTTTATTATCCATTAATCTGCTAATTGTTATTTCATCATGTCACTGAAGACAAAGACAGAAAACCTTTAAATGATCAATCAGTAATCAAAACAGCTGATGGTCAATCCGATGTTGATTTTATCTGCAAAGGAGGAAACTGTAAAATCTAAATACATCATGTTTTGAATCAGCGACTGGCTCAGGTCTTTAAATTGTTAATTACTGTGTGTGAATCTAATGTGTGATAAATGATCAAGTCATTTATTAAGTAACAGTTATCTGTTTTAAGCGGAGTTGTAAATATTGATGATTTTCATTAAAGATTAATTGATAACTTTAGAAAAGAGAAAAAATGTCTGAAACACCTGCAGAGACAAACTTAATATTCTGATGTTACAACCTGGAGAAAGTTTGTAATGACGTTAACGAAGGATCAATTATCAGAACTGTTACTGATGAATTTCCCGTCAGTCGACTCGTCACTCAGTTTAAATCTGATCTCCTCGACATGTAGATTCTTCAGACGTCAGAAGGTCGACGTCACGTGACTCGACGTGAATCTGATCTTCATGAAACGTTGTCGTTTGTTTTTTAGACGAGAACGGAGAAGAAGAGTCGGAGGAGCCGCCGAAACCCGACATCAAAGAGGTGAAAGAGGACGACGCTTTCTACTCAAAGAAGTACGTCAGAACTTTAAAATCATATTTAATAATAAACAAAATACTGTAGTAAAGTAATTTTTCCCTTTGGTGAAAACCTTCATCTGTGGGAGTTTGTAAAGCGAGAGCAGCTGAGTCTGTTCATGTCTTCAGATTTAATTTGATGCTTTTCCATCAAGTTTACTAAAGAGGAAAATTAAAAATCCACACGTTGACTTAAATGGATAATAATTAACAGTTTTTTTATTTGCCACAGATATAATGGTATATGTTTATATAATACATGTTACATAGATGAGTTGTGGCTTTAATTAAAACCCTCTCCGGTTTGACTGAAGGTTTTTATGCAGAGAAACGATTTACAGATATACAATAAAAGATTTCTGTTTTCTCTCCATCAGAACAAATGTTTGTTGATGTAAAGTCCCTCAGAGCTGAAGCTGGAGGCTGTTCATGTTTCATCACTTTGTTTCTTCGGCTGTTTTTGGTAGAACATGAAAACGAGACGTCGTCGACGTTTGCGACGCAGAGCTTTGTGTTTGTGCAGATGAGCGTCGCTCCGTGTGTTAACCTGTTGTTGTTTTTCCTTCAGGTGTAAAATGTTCTACAAGAAGGACTCGGAGTTCAAGGAGAAAGGAGTGGGAACTCTGCACCTCAAACAAACAGCGGAGGGAAAAACTCAGTTGCTCATTCGCGCCGACACCAACCTGGGTAAAAAAAAAATAAAAGAATTACAGCTGCAGGAGTTTAGTTTGAACTGAAAACAAAATGTCTGAGGCAAGAAAGAGTTTAGATGATTCATCAGCAGGAGAGAGCAGCTGCTTCTACGTGAACTCCAGGATTAGAGACGTATTATATATTATATTATACGTATTAATGAGAGATCCATTCTCTTCATCTAATCAGTGTTTTCTTGATTAATCATTTGCTCTTTAAATGTCAGAGAAATGGAGAAATACTTGGTTTCTATGGCGATGTCCTCAGTCAGCTGACGCAGGAGACAAACAAAACCCGAGAAAAAGAAACAAGTTGTTTCTCCTCATTGTTCAGGTGTTTAATCCCAGGTTTAATTTAAATTCACATTAATATGCAGCAGAATATTCCCACACAGACTGTAGAGAGGAACAGCTGTTTCCTGTTTGACCTCAGCTGAGCGAACAGCTCCACCTGCTGCTGCATCAGAGGAACTGCAGCTCAGAAAACACAGTTTAAACTGAAATCCAGTTACTAGTGTTTTCTGATTTATTTCTGTTTAACTCGACTCCTTTTGTAACTGATTCCTTAAGTTTAAGACCGAGAAACTCTTAAATACTGAATGAACATTTTAAAGAAACCTTGAGGGGAAGACGTGGAACAATGTGTTCTTCCTCCTCTAAGATCTGATTAATAATCAATTAATGAAAGTATGTTAAACATTGATGTCTCGGCTCCGTTAACGACCTCGTCTCCTCCGTCCCCATTAGGAAACATCCTCCTCAACATCATGGTGCAGTCGTCCATGCCGTGCTCTCGGGTCGGTAAGAACAACGTGATGGTGGTGTGCGTCCCCAACCCGTCCATCGACGACAAGAACCCCAGCAGCCCCGTCCCCCTCCTCATCCGGGTCAAGACCGCCGAGGACGCCGACGAGCTCCACAAGATCCTGGAGGAGAAGAAAGGCTGAACCCCGAGCTTTTAGCAGACTTCACCTGGTCATCCTCTGACCCCCCACCCCCCCAGACTCATCACCCTCCTCCTCATCACGCCGGTTTTATCCACACACACACACACACACACACACACACACACACACACACACACTTGTACTTAACTCCTGGTAAATCAGCTGTTCCATCACAATGAATTGGTCGTCATACTGTGAAATCTTTTAGTTTGAAATCAGAAGCAGGTCGTTGGCGTCGGCGTCGGCGACCACATTCCTCCTCCGACGCTGCTGCTGCTGTTTGATTAGAGACGGAAGGTGTGTCGATCAGCCTCAGTGTTTCACGAGTCGTCCTTCGATCTTTACCACTGAGTTCTTTGGGGAAAGCTCCAAATAAAGGTCCAGTCGATTTGGTTTTACAAATTAAATACCTGCAGTAACAGTTAATGTTTTAATGAACGTGTCGAGGATGTCGAGCCGAGCGTCTGCTGAGTGTGGTTTCTGTTTTTTTTTTTTTTTTTGGCTCTGGAAACTATTTATTGTGTCGGCAGGAATCGTTTCTCTCACTGATGGAACCTCGTGTGAATGTTTCTGAGCGCCGCGTGGAAGGAAGTGTTTTATTTTTGTTGTTTTTCTGTCAACATGGACTCTGTTGTTTTCCAAGTGTCCTTTGTGTGGCCTTCGGTCCGGCCGTCGAGATGAGGCATGCTGTCATCGTCTGAGAACATTTGTAAAGACATTTTATTGGGGAATAAAAGGAAACAAACCAACTCGGCTGCTGCTTTTTAATTTCTGTCTCTTATTTTTGATTCCAGCTCCATGTGCGATTCACTTCCTGGTTTTGTTGTGGTCCGTCTGTGTCTCAGGAGGAGAGGTTTAGGAGCTGCACCAGAACCAGACAGGAAATGATCTTGATTTAATGTCGTAATAATTGAGGGTTTAAAACGTGTCAGAAGTTAATGGAAGTTTTGTATCGGAGGTAGTTTCCTTCACATTAATCAAATTAACAGATTAAAAAAATTCAATTGGAAAAGATGAAAATTAAATATTGAAACGAACAATAAAACGTTTTTCTTTTATCCTCCATGTCGCTTCATGACGATGCCGTCCTCCATCTTGGCTCAGATCAGGTGATTGTGATGAAATGTGATTCAGATGTTCATGTTTCCCCTCAGGATGAAATGAAGAGACTTTAATGACCCTCTGACTTTTCCTCTAGCGCCACCATCAGGTCACATTTAATGTAGAAACCAAACTAAACATTCGCAGCAGGTTTTTATTATTAACTAGACCCTGAAAAAACATAAACATGATGATAATGTGAGTGTTGCTGCTCTTGTACCAAACAAACATGTTTCCTTTACGTCTGGAGAACACGACGCTGATGTTCGGACACCTTTTATCTTTAGCAAAGAAACTGCAGCTCCTGGGGTTTGGATATTACACAATAATAATATTTTGGTTAATTGTTCAGACTGAACTCTTCTCCTACAGTGCAGTGAACAGAGATGGAAGAGCTGCTCACGTCTGGAAATGATTCAAATTTAATTTAATTAGCAACAGAAATGAAAGAAATGAATCATTTAAGATCTTTAGAAAACAAATAAAAATCTTTCGATATGTAGACGTCTGTGTTGAGTTTATCTGGCAGTGATGATCCAGCATGTTTATCCTAATGTCCACGTTATAAAGACACTGGTACTGAAGCTGTGTTTGTCTCAGTGACCAGTAACAGAAAATAAACATGAGTGTGTTGAATCTCTCAGGTCAGAGAGATTTTAACAGACGAGATAAAAATGTCCTGAAGGTGGCGCCTGAGCAAATGTGTTTAAACTTCCTGTGGTGACTGAACATCCACCTCATGTTCTCTGGAAACAAACTGATCATCTTCATCAGAAACCAGTGAAAACCAGCACACCTCAGTTTTTCTGATAATGTGTATTTCAATAAATAAATACAGGAAAATGTACATAGAGTTTGGAAAGTAAGCAACAGAGGGACGGACTGAAAACATGCACATTAACGTGTCTGTGTACAAAAGCGTGATGAGCGTTAACGTGGCGTCACAACAAAAAGTCTTTAACAAACTATTTTCAAAAAGGTTCTAAAAGCGTTTTACAGTGCAACCTGTCGATTTGCTCATATCAAATGTTTGTCGTTAAAGCAGTCTTTGATCAGCGTGGATACATTCAGCTGGAGGAACTATAAACTACATCATCTTCATCATCATCATCAATAACACTGAAGAGACGAGCAGCGACGACTCGTCCTAACTGAAGGTAACTGAAGTGACCTGTGGAAAACTTCACTGTTCAAACACGACACGCAGAAAAACACTGTGGACGGACTTTGATCGAGGATGGCTTCGTCTCTGAGTGCAAATCAATCACTGATAATATGTGATCAATCACCACAACAGCAGTCAGATCAATGATTCTCATCAAACGTCCAGTTTTAACGTTAATGGAAAACGAGATGCCAGAATCTTCACAGCTGATCACAGACGATCAATCGATTTAACAATTAATTACAACTTTCAACTGATTCAGCCAATAATCAATATTTGTACATCACGTGCTCCAGATAGTAGAGGAAAATGTGTTTATCATTTAACCAGTAATTAATAATTTAACTTCTGCTCACAAATTGTTCCCAGGATCAATTCTTTTTTCAACTTAAGTCATTGATCAGAAAATTTAATCTGGACTTTATTTCTTAATTGAAAGAAAAAAAAATGGAGGACAAAAGTTTAAAATATTTTGAGAAAAATGTAGTTTATATATATATAGATATATATATAAAATAATTTATTTATAGACTCATAATATTAGGATTTTTTGTTTTAATTATGATTTTTTTCTTGAAAATCTTTTATCCTAAATATCACCAAAATCATTTTGAGAAAATATTGAAAATTACAAAAGTAAAATTACAATTTTGTGAGAAACAATTTAACTTGGAAATTAATTTTTAGTCTCTTATGATTGAAAATGATGAAAATTGACATTTTTAGTCACAAAAATTATGAAAATCTGAATTTTAATAAATTTCATATTCCAAGAATACACTCAGTTTATGAGAGAAACATTGCATTGTGTTTCAAAATTGATTATTTTAATAAAAAAATGCAAATTGAAAAATAACTTCTTATAAATTTTTTTAATTTACAAAAACGTCATGTTATTAAAAAAACAATTTTAATAACATGACATTTTTTTCTCAAAATACAACTTTACTCTAAAAATGTTAAATTAATCTGTATTTCCCTCCATCAGTCCATATTACTAAGTAATCACTGTCGATTAATCCACTCATTTTTTCCACACTAATCAATGAAGCCATGATCTAACCAAAGAAAACAAAAACATGCTGATTAATTACATCTTTAAATGAAGAAATTTGAATTCCTACGTTTTGAGACCTTGTGATGGACGTTTGTTATTTTACAGTAACAGTCGTCAGTGACGAGCTGTAAAGATCGTGGCGTCTCTTCTTCGTGACGGATAATAAAACGTTTGTTAAAATGAAAACGACGTGAAGAGAAAGACGAAACATGAACGTCACACAGAGTTTAAGGCTTCAGGAGCACAGAGGGAGAAAAACCAGAGGAGTCACTTTAAACATCGACTAACTGAAAACACATCTGTCCACATCTGGATCCAAAATGTCCGCCGGCCCCGAGTAGATCTTAGATGCAAACAGTTCTGGGCTTTTTCTTCCAGTTTCCCTTTAACATCATGGTCACTGTTGTTTTTCAAGTCTCTTCCAGTTTGTGAGTCGCAGTTGAAACTGAAGCTGGAGCAGTAAAAAGTAAAAAGTAAAAAGTCAGAGCTGGGTTTGTGTGATGTGTTTTTTTTTTGTCTTTTTTCAGTTGGTGGTGAAAAGCCACAGGAGAGAAGTCGACTACAGGACGAACCATCACACAGCTGGACTCGCTTTAAAATGCAGATGTTTGTCTGTCGGTCGAGGTCAGATCCATCTGGAGGGTGTTTTTTAGTTGTTTGAAAATAAATAAAAAGTAAACAAAGCAGCTCGGGGCTCCAAACAAACTTAGACTGAGTTTATTTGTTCTCCTGCTTTTGTTTTTGTCACAGTTTTAAACTTCAGTACTTCAACAGAACAAAGTATAACTATGACTATAGAAAATGACTGTATTCAAGTAGTTATTTTCATAACTGATTCATTATTTAAAGTCATTATTCCAGTTAAAATATCAAATATTTCCTAGTTACATTTTCTTAAAATGTAGTCAATTTAAGTCATGTAAAAAATGTCATGTTGTTAAGCTGAAGAACATAAACTAATTGTTTTAAGACTAAATTAATGATTTATTTTATTAAATTAAGTTTAAATACCAATTAGTTGCTGGTTTGTTAAATGTGATCATTGTTGTTAATTCTGGGATTTAGTAATTTTCATAATTGTTTCATCATTTATTAGTTTTTTTGTTTCTTTGTCACATTTCCAATCACACCCCAAAATAATAAATAGATTTTCAAAACAATAAAGTCATCTAGTTAGAAAAAAAGTCATATAGTGAAGCTGAAGAAAAGAAAATCATTATTTTAAGACTAAATTAATGGTTTATGGTATATTTTGATGTTTAATTAATTAAAATAAGTTGTTGCTGGTTCAGGTTCTTTCATGTGTGTTTGTTATTTTAAGTTCTACTAATCAACATGAATTCAAGTTGTGATGAACATTTTTTAATAGTTTTGACATTTCAAAGATTAAATAAATAAAATAATATCTGTTACTTAATGAAAATAACTTGTAACAGAGTCATGATTTTAAAAGTTTATGAAACACGAAGAGATGGATGTGACCTCGTCCTCAGGAACGTTTCCTCTCACACAAAAACACTTGTTACGTCAGACGCAGGTTCCCGCTCACCTGACGTCGTGGCAGATTATTATAATAAAAAAAGAGAAAAGAAACGTCACGACGAGTCGAACAGAAACTGAACGTGTCGTTAAAAGCAGAACCTTTAGTCAAGGCGTCTCAGTGAGTAAAGCAGCAGGATATTTACAGGAAAAACACATTCTTCACTTCCTTCCTGGTCAGAGTTCAGCCAATGCCTCTTCACACTGAGGTCATGTGATCCTGACGCCGGGCCCGTTTCCGTGG